AATTAACTCACAAGAGAACGCCTTCTCCCCAGTGACCTCCAGGAGGAATCCTGGACTTACGATTTGCAAAGGAAATCATGTGTTGTTTTAAGCCAAGACATTTGTTTTAGTTTTATTAAAGGGAAGCAGGAATGCCTTTCTCCATTGCCACAAATTAGTTTCCCACATTGGGGGAGATGCCAGGGCTCCACATACACAGAGTGCAATGGGTGAGCCTCACCCAGGAAAAAGTTCCTTCATCCATGGTCGTGATGTCTCACCTAATATGGAAGTTTAAGCCAGTATGTTTTTGATAACATGTTTCAGCAGCCAGAGAAATCAAACAGGATCCTACACAAACTCAACTGCTCACTGCAGAAAAGCTAACAACTTACAAACATAACCTTTCAGGGTATCTCTGTCAGTACAGGAGTCACAAACCACAAGAGGGCAACCTTCTCCACAGAACAAGAGGGCCACAGACACACAGGCTAGATAAAATAGATACGTGATGGGGAATAGCAAGGCTAGTCCTTAAAGCAATAGCTCCTCAGAGTATATATTAACTACAAAATGTCTTTCCTTGTCCAGGATTACCCTGCAAACAACAGCCCTAAAATTCAGTACATACAACTAACACTGAATGACTCAGCATGTATTAATATATAAATATAACAACCATAGTTATACAAAAAGAGGCCAAAATTTAGGTGTAAGGAGGTGGCATAGGAGGATCAAAATGGGGAGAATAGGGAAAGGGTAAGAGAAAAAAAATGATATAATCATATTTTATCTAATATTTAAGACAGAGAGTTTTATTTCTCAGACAGTTGAACCTATATGGATAATGAAGTCAATTGTGTATCATCTGATATAAATTCAGCACTTTCAATATGCAAGACAACTCTTTCTGTATATTTTTGAATCAATAACTATATTGAGAGGTTCTTTAAAATCCCTCAGTGCCATGAGAATAAGCATATAATTCTGCCTTTTGGACAGAATTATAAGGGCTTTGTTCCACCTTATTTAAATCTTCTGATTTGTAACCACCCTTTCTTGATTTGCTCACATCAGTAAAGAAATGTATGAGCTCTAGTTATTGGTGTGCCGCTTACAATGTGGGGAACGATCTAAATAGTTCTCTTCATAAGCTTAATTGCTGTTAATCTCTCCTAAAAAATTAGCACAAGTTGAGAAAAATCCCACACTAGTGAATTAATAGAACATTTGAAAACTTTAGAACGAAAAGAAGCAAACCCACCCAAGAGAACTAGACATCAGGAAATAATCAAATTGAGAGCTGAAATCAACAAAATAGAAACAAAAAAAACAAAACAAAGAACCAATGAGACAAAGTGTTGGTTCTTCGAGAAAATCAACAAAACAGACAAACCTTTATCCAAACTAACTAAAAGGCAGACAGGAAATATCCAAATTAACAAAATGAGAAATGAAAAGGGGGACATAACAATAGACATGAAGGAAATACAGAGAATCATCAGGTCATATTTCAAAAACCTGTACTCTAAAAAAATTGGAAAACTTAAAGGAAATGGACAACTTTCTGGATAAATATCACTTACCAAAATTAAATCAAGACCAGATAAGCAAATTAAACAGACCTATAACTGCTGAAGAAATAGAAACAGTCATCAAAAGTCTCCAAACTACAAAAAAGCCCAGGACCAGATGGTATCAGCTCAGAATTCTACAAGATTTTCAAAAAAAAAAAAAAAACTAATACCAATACTCCTCAATTTGTTCCACACAATAGAAACAGAAGGAACATTGCCAAACTCTTTCTATGAGGCTACAATAACCCTGATATATCTTGCTCAGCCTAGATATAGTAAGGAGGGCCTTGAACCTTCCACAAAGGAATTTGCCAAGTAGCTGAGGTCCAGAAACAAAAATGACTTTTTTCAGATATACCATCGGTAAAGATTTTCTTACTAGCCAGGACTACAAAAAATAATCTGACTCCATAACCCCGAGAAAGAGTTACAAGTTTCCTTTTTAATGACCTAAAGCTACACACAGAGCAGAAAATACATTTTAAGATTTAAAATGCGGGCTGGAGAGATGGCTCAGTGGTTAAGAGCATTGCCTGCTCTTCCAAAGGTCCTGAGTTCAATTCCCAGCAACCACATGGTGGCTCACAACCATCTGTAATGATGTCTGGTGCCCTCTTCTGGCCTGCAGACATACACACAGACAGAATATTGTATACATAATAAATAAATAAATATTTTTAAAAAAAAGATTTAAAATGCTTCTAGTGTCACTGTGTCTTGGAGAGTGCCAATTGAACTAATATTAAAAGGATTTACAGTAATTCTGAGTCCAAACTAAAGAATTTACTACACACCAAACAGGGTAATCTCTGAGTACAAGTAAACCTGGCTTCTAGCACTCCAAATCACAAAACAATAGCTTAAAATGTTTATACACTCCGAAGTATAGGATATAGTACACAATTTCCTTATTTTTCTTAGACTCCTTAATAGTTTTGTTGTATAACTCCTTCAAAATCCTTTTTAAGACTTTAAGACTACCTCTCTAGATAGATAACAAAATGACTGATTCTTTCTTTGCAGCTACAAGTTAAAGCCCACCAATCAGGGAGTTGACAAAGGAAAAAAAATGTTCCTTCCTTGCTCTGCGACATGTTATTTAAATATATTGCATGTGAGTTGCCGCGTGCCTCTGTTTTTGTTATTTATTTCAGAAATGGAATGGGACCTTCAAATGTAATGCCTGAAAGATTTTGTGGGTTCTTTAAGCTATGGAGGACAAAGGAAGATGGAACTTTATGAGAAGGACATGTGAGATAAAGAAGGAATGCATCAGAAAAGTGTATTCGTGTCTTTCTTTCCCCAAGCCCCGCAGATAGAAAAGTCTTGGTGCACTAATTCCATGGACATCATTCCTACCCTCAGCGGCCTAGGAGCTGAGTCTGCCTAGACTGTGATATGAAGAGGTGAGGATGCTCACATTGAGGCTGCAGTGGATGGCCTACTGGCCACCTGAATCCAAGACCATTTCAGGGTCTGGGCTACTGTCAAGGACCACACTTGGTCGGAGGCCCTGAAGCAGCTGAGAGGGCATGAGTTGAGATCTATGACTCCTATCCTCACTGAGGGCTGTGCAGAGGTCTGCAGTCTAGGCAGCCACTTAGGGCCAGGTTGGTATCTGAAGGCCATGCTCCTCTGGGGGTCATGCTGATCTAGGTGGCCTGCACCGCCTCCTAGGGCTATGGTGACATCAAGGCCCAGGCTGCTGCTGAGGACCATGTCTGGGTCTGTGGTCCTACCACAGCCAGGGTATCAATATTGATGTGTGTGAGCCATGTTGCCACCAAAGGCCACACTGTTACCCGGGGTCTTGGTTGCAACCTGTGGTCATGAGAGTGTCCAGGATCCATGCTACCACCAGGGCCGTGCTGATCTAAATGGCCTGCCCTGTCATTCAGGGCCATGGTATCATCCAGGTCAGTGTTGCTACCCTGCCCATGTCTAGGTTCATGGCTTTACAGCAGCCAGTGTCTGAACTGATGTTCATGGTCCCTGTTACTGCCAAGGGCCCGTCCAGATGCCCAGGATCTGCTCAACCACCTGAGACCATGTTTGTGTCCAAGAGCCATGCTACCACAGTGGGATACTGATCTGGGTAGCCTGTGATGCCACCAGAGTCAGGGTGACACCCGGGCCCAGGCTGTTGCCCAGGGCCCTGTCAAGGTCTAGAGTATTTCTAGAGCTGGGGTCAGTGTTCATGTTAATGGCCTGTGTTATCATGGCGACTTAGGAAACAATCTTGTTGAAATCAGAGAACCTGGGCTAAGATGTCCCCACCCTGAAATGGCCCTGGGATAGGTGATCCTGCCCCTCAGTAGATACCGCAGCAGGAGAAATGGCCCATGGAATCAGGAAATGTGGCCTCACCTCTCACACAGGCATTACCCCACCTAGGCAGCACACTAGATCTGACCCTGTTGTCAGGGATGCAGGTGAGCTGCCCCGAGGAGGTGAGAACAGCAGGGCTAACCATGCCCACCCCCTGCTTGTCTGCCATGTGGTGGCATGGGTGAGGGAAAGATACCCTCCTCCTCCCAACCACCCTCCTACCTCTGGCAGATGAGGAGAGTAGGCACGGGGTCACAACAGTGGGAGAACTAGCCCTGTCCCTCATCAGCAGTAGCAAACAGGAGGGCAGACACTGTTCCCCTCTGCGGCAGAAAACGAGAGCCAACCCTGTTGTCAGGAAAGCAGGTGAGCCAGCCCTGAGGGCAGGAGTACAGGAGAGCTCGCAAACCCCCATTTTTATGCCCCTTACAGCAATCTAGACAGAAGATCCTGCTCCTTGCCTGGGCAAGAATGGATCAGTCCTTGGTGGTGTGAGTGTGAGTGAGTCACACCCACGGAACTGACAGTGAGAGGAGTGATCCCATTCCTTGCCTCAGGCTGTGTTGAGTAGGCTCACCAGGCACTGCCGGAGAGCATGCCCAGGTAGGGACAATGAGAGACAGAACTCAGGCTAAGGGTCGCTTCTTTAGGGGAGTTCTTTGAAAATCATTTCTCAGGACAGGTAGCAGCAAAGTGGGTGAGCAGTGACCTTGCCCTCAGGAGTGACAGCAAGACAGTTTCAGTATCCAAAAAATCTTTTCTCAGAATTAATAAGGATTCACCAGTGACAGTGGGCCTGTGTGGCATTTCTTTTACAAAGACCTGAGTAAGCTTTCAAAACTTTCAAAGACCATTTCTTATGACTACAATATGTACCTATTGAAAGAGTAGAGACTGTGGCTGGATCCAACACATGATATTGGTCATATAGGAAGAGGGCACAAATTAGAATGGGCTGAGCAAGAAGCCAAGAGTTCTTTGTTCCCACATCCTCATTTCTTCCTGGATCATGATTGTTTCAGCGTCTCCTTTCCCCAAAAACATGGAACTAAGTAAAGGCCCCAGCTGAAGCATAGGTTTTCCTGGCTCCACTTCACAGAAAGCTCAATTTTAATATCAGATACCCTTTATGTAACCAATAATGGCATTTACAACTTTCTTAGAGCAAGGGAAAGAAAGACACTTCTTATCAAATAAAATCGTGCATCCGTGAAAGCCATCTTCCACATGGTACCAGTTCACGAGGACCCCCTGGTCTTCCAAGCGCTTCTTATAGAGCAAGGCATCATCCCGGAGGATGTCATTCTCACAGCTCACCAGCAACGTCTGAGGAAACTGAGAAATGATCTTGTCATCTGCTAGGACAGGTGAAATTTCTAAACTCCAAACATGTTGGGTTTCTAGGTAGGCAGCCTCATCAAAAGGTCCAAAAGACTCCAGTTGTATGTCTTGGCTCCAGAACCTTCTGGGGATGTTGTCATGGCTAAGCCATTTCTTGTATTTCTTCCACTTATCCAGAGGTATAATAGCACCTGCCAAAATGGCATCTTTCCGAGAGAGATCTATGGCCAGGTATTTACACAGACACATAAACAGCATGTCTCTGGTAAGGAATGGCACATTTTTGCTCTGTTGATGTGATGGTAACTGAAAATTGACAAAATTTACTAGTGGATAAATCAGGACTTGAGCCCGGATCTGGGGTAGACTGGGAATGCTGGTTAAGACCTGTATGACAGTGACCACAGCTGAACCTCCAATACTCTCTCCACAGAGAACTACCCGGGATGGGTCCACCCCAAAGGATTCCAGGTTCTTCAGGAAGTAGATGGTGGCACTCAGGCAATCATTAAAAAGGACAGGATGATGGTGGCTAGGAAGCTTGCGGTACCTGAGGAGGAGGGAGCAAACACAGCAAGCTTCTTTACAAAGAGGTCACCGGAGGCCATTTCCATCGTCATCCTCTACTCTCAAAAGGAACCAAACCTGACTCTATCCTCAGAGTGATCCTAACAAGTAAACATAGCGACTCTCACTTTTCCTTCATGGACTTGAGGATCCTTGAGAATCAGGGATGCCAGGATGCTCCATTTCACCCACACTGCTTCCCATAGATGAGCACACCACTTACAGAATTCAGCAAGTTCAAAGATGATATCTTAGGAACAAAGCAACCGACAAAGGCTGTTGGATTCAGCTGGTCTCACCTCTTCCTAGACTCACCTCTCCCTGACGTGAGAGGCACATGGTGAGCAATATTAAAATTCACCCCTTAACACACTTTAAGTCTATACCAGGGTTTAAGTCCACACCGAAGACATTCATTCTAATGTTAATTTTCCTGTGGTTAAGCAGAGGTGTTAGGAGATTAGGCAATTGGACTCCTTAATGGGGAGCTCTTAGACTCCTGCGTGAGGCAGTTTTGAGAAAATGACTGTTAGTGTAGCTGTCAGCTAGACTTATAACAACACAGGTTATTTTGAACACTACACAAACATTAAGGAAGCTACACAATAATTGTGGCCATTTGCCACTAAAACAAAACCTTAGCATTTGAAGTTGTAGCCACAGCCAAAAGTGTTTCAAACAATTTGAAATAGATTTTCCTTGTAATATGAGGCCAGAGAACAGGAATTACCCAGGTTATTTGCCTAGCAGAAGGACTCTGGCCTAGTACAGAAGGGAAAGTATGTTTCTCATAAACACAATTATATATGAAGGCATACTGACACCAGGGCACACACTCTTTTCTTATTAGATTAGCAAGTTGTTATGTTAACTTTGTGAGCCAGCTGGAAGACGTCTTCCTATGTTGGCCATTGCCTTGGTTTGCAACATTTGACCCAGTAAACAGCCTCTTCCCTAGAGGTTATTTCCTAACTGCTTTTGTAGAGTAGACTGAGGAGGTTACCAGAAAGAAGTAACGTTGCCAGTAACAGCAAAGGCTGCAGAACCACAGAAGAGCTGAGCCACGACAGTGGTAGAGCCACAAAGGCTATTGAAAGTCTGACAGTGATGATGACCGACCGTCGGAAGAAGCCAGAAGCCTTGAGAATGGTGACAGCAGAGTCACAGGGAATATCCAGTGGCCATACAGGAGCAGAGGTGAAGACACAGGAATGGCAGGAAGGGGTAGCAGAGTGGCAATACTAACAAAAGAACTTGAATCCAACAGCAGGCAGTCAATAATGTGATCACAACAGGAGAAACAAAAGCTGGAGAAATAGCGGCTGTAGCTTTAAAGAGCCAAGGGTGTTAGATACTCCATGTGAAAAATTGTCAAGACCTAGGGTATGGTGACATCCTACGCCTTTACAGGAGATGTACATGAAAAATATAAAAATAGCACCCCAAGTTCAAGGCCCCTTTCTATAGTCTAATGTCACCCAGACGGTTCCAATAAATACCCTAGCATATATGAGTCCCCAATCATCTCAGGACACTCACCCCACCATCAGCACCGCAGAGTCTGTCTCACTGGCCAGGAAACTGCAAAGGCCATGGTAACAGTCTGCAAGAAAAGACTCAGTATTAAAGCAGCTGTGACAAGAACCAAACTCTTTCCACCACAGACCCCGGGACAGCAGCTTCCTTGGTGGACCCAGAGATGATGTCTTCTCTGAAGTTCAGAGAAGTTCAGTGTCTACACCACATGAACGGCAGGAAGAGACACCAGAGACAAGACTGGAAAGGGCATCACGGGGTATGGAGGGGGTACAGTGCAGCCGTGGCATGCTCTAAAGTGTGTTTTTGGACCCTTCTGGAGGGAAGAGAAGACTGAAACCCAAGATGAGAAGTAGAGTCAGGACACCATGTTTGGGTTCAGCAGGGAAGGGGATGAAGTGACTGGATTTTCCCCCACCATGTGCCAACCAGGCCGAGGAAAGTGTGGTGAAAAAGCAGAAATGTTCGGTGCTATGAGTGGAGAAGAAAGAAAGGAATCACATCCGGCTCCAGCACAGCCCTACTCTGACATGCTGCCCCAATCTAGACTTAGACCAACATAGACACATTGCTATATAGGCTGCAACCCACTGACTGGGATGTGCCCTGAATCTGCACCCACCCTCTCTTTAAGAAGGTCCAACTTCTACCTCCATTAACTCCTTCTTCCAAGTCCACAGGAGAACATGTACCAGATTACCTTTGAAGGATACCTTCCTCCCCACCTCGAATGCTAACTTCTTACCCAGGCTTCCAAATAATCCAGCTCCTCCATGATAGAAGATGATGCCTCGCCGGAGTTTGGGAGACAATTCCTTGGGCTTGAGGAGCCTCACAGGGACTGCTCCAAAATGCATGTCAATCACCAATACGTTCGGATCCTTCTTCAGTGGCAATAAACTTTGGGCGCATTGTAAAAACCTGGGCAAGGCACAGATTCTCAGGTTCTCTAGTATTTTTCCCTGTAGTGGGCAAAGGATGGAAAGTGAGGCATGAGAGAGAGTGGTGAGTGAGTAGATGCTGAAGTCAATTAGCATTGCTCAGGTGTCTTCACCATTCCTCGCCTGCTTACTACAGGTGCAAAGGGGCCATGGGGACACAACTCACTGGACATCCTTGATATGGGAGTCCCTTCTGTGTGCTGTGATTACCACTAATGAATAAAGAATCTGCCTTGGCCTATTGATAGGGCAGAACTTAGGTAGGTGAGGGTGATGGAATTGAATGCTGGGAGGAAGAAGGCAGAGTCAGAGAGACATCATGGAGCCGCCAGAGTCAAACATGCCTAATCTCTGCCGGTAAGCCACTGCCATGTGACGATATACAGGTTAATAGAAATAGGTTAAATTAATGTAAGAGTTATCCAATAAAAAGCTAGAGCCAATGGGCCAAGCAGTGTTTTAATTCATATAGTTTCTGTGTGATTATTTCGGGTCAAAGCTAGCTGGGCAGCTGGGAATGAACAAGTAGCAGCCCTCCCTGAAGCACATTCTTTTCAGATAAGAAACCTGTTCCAACTTTTCTTCCCACAGGGTCCCGAATAAATGAGGATGGCGCTGTGAAGGAAGTTCCATCAAAACTCACATTCACGTTCCATTGCCAGATTTAAGAGCTGGGCATTTTAAGTGGCGATGATGTGGTATCCTCTTGAGGAAATTAAGTCCTGAGAGTTGAGGTCATCTAGTTTTACTGTCTCATGAACACAGGTATGCTTGCCTTTTCTACTAAGAGATGACATGAGATCGTCCATTGTTGTGAGCACTCATGTTCTAGGGCTTATCAAACTTCAAGAATAGGTACAGCCATTCCTCACTGGTCTGAGTTAAAGCAAACTGTGTGATGTGGTCAGAGCAAGCCCACAGAGGTGAAAAAATGGATAAAGGCCCCATGGAGGTGCTTCAGGATGAGAGAGCCAGATAATTGAGACAATGGATAGAATATTTTCATACTATTACAACTTACTAATGCTTTTTTTAAGTGTTTATTTGGCCCCTGCTTCTCAAAGCCAATGTGTATTCAATTGAAACCATCAATAATGTATGATAAGAAGCATAGCCCACAATTACTTTTATACACCCGTATATTTCTCATGGGATAGTGACCCAGGTGCATGCTTTATTACCTTACCCATCCTCTGTAAAAAGTCAGTTGCACAGATGACAGATTGCTAATCTCTTAGTGTTCTACAAATCTAGAATCCACCTAAATGTAATACAGGTGCACATCAAAAATAGAGAATGGAGGGTGAAAGATCAATCCAACAGGGCACAAGGATTACTGTGAAATCCCTAGGAGTGATATGGGGTCAAGTAAGACATGTATGATACCTGACAAAGTCATTGAGAAAAATCCTACAACATCCAGCAAATATAAAAGAGATGCAGGTATTCTTGAACTCTTGGGATATTGGCAGATTTTCACACCCTACCCTGCCCAAGTTGTCTGCCCATTTTACAACTTGGTAAACAGAGGGACCATATGGGACTGAGGCAAAAAGGCACAAGGGACTTTTAATCAGGCTAAGATCATCTTTTTCTGAAGGCTTAAATAATTGTAGGACAGTAAAAACAGCTGTGTGCACTTCCTCCCTACTGGGGACAACAGATGTGGATGGAGCATATAAAAACGTCAACTTGACCCAAGAGAGGATAGTAAGTACACTGCACTGCACTTGCACATCTCAGGGAGGATGCAAATATGACTGCCTGGAAACCACAACAGATCTCCTGCAAGCATTCCCAAGTGCACAAATAACAATCGAAGCCACCATCAAGCATCTCACACAATTCAGTGGCAAGTATGGACACTCACAGAGAACTGATGCGGCAAGAATAGCCATTTCACAAAATGATGCGTCAAACGGGAGTGGATTCAACAGGAGCAATGATACAACCACACACCACACAGGCCAATTGGGACTGGGCTCCCATTTTAATAAATTATTAGGAAAATAGTTAAAGAACAGAGTCAAATACAGAGGCAACCTGGAGAGGTGAAAAGGGCTCTTCCAGAGGCCATATGTTTGATAAAGGAAAACCCCACCACAGATGGGTTGTCTACCTGCAATTTGTTGGCCAGGGATGCCCCTGAGGTGTTATAAAACAAAGAGACTCTTGCCACTGCTGTGGGGTACACGCCAGGACCAGATGGTGAGACTATTGCTAAAGACACCGCCTGGTCTGGTTGCAGTGCAGGGAGATACAGAGCTGGGACGGAAGTGGGAGTTATCTTCTAACTTGCTATCTAATAACGCCCATATGTGCTATGTGGGCTGCTGCAGGAGAGCTGTCACAGCAAGCCCTGCTCGGCTGTGCTCCCCGCCTGCTATAGTACCAGGCGCCAGGTGTTCCTGCAGGTGAAATAACGACATGACTATTGTGGGACAATCGGCAGCTTTCCCATTGCATGTGAGGCCCACTACACATGAGAGAGTTCATGTCTGGCACTGTAAGCCAAGACAAAACCCAGTGGCTCAGGAGGCCATAGCTTCCAGAGGGGAATCCCCGACACTCTTTGTCGCATGTATGTGATGTGCTTAGTAACTGCCTTCTGATCCTTTGTGCATAAGCCCATCGAGCACTGTTGTTGTCACCCTCAGAATTCCTTTTGCAATGGACGGTGTCCCACAGAGGACCAAAAACCACCAATGAACCTCCTGAGAACAAGTGACTACTGGTGAGCACAGTGGCCCAGTGATTAGCCTTAAAGGGCATCTGTTGTTCTTATCCCCTCTAAGACTCAGTGAACTCTGAGGAGGAAAGGGTCAGAAAGGATGTTAGTAAACGCAGAGAAAGGGGTAGAGAGTTGTACAGAATTTCTTCTGTATGGAAACATTCCCTCTAAGAGAGAGCAGGCAGCTCCTGAGACTCAAGAGAAATGCTTCATATCCCTGCAAACAATTGAGGTTCCTACAGGCAGTAACCAATTATTGGACAAGGGTACTCTGACTTTAGGTACAGAATTAGGTTCTCATACCTGGCAAGCTGCAGAAGGTTCCAAATGACTTGAATATCCAAGCTCCGGGGTTAAAATCTATAGAAAATTACCCTCTACCTCCATCTTATATTGATGGATGCTTCTTCCTTAGAGGCCATCACTACACTGCCCAGAATCCCTTAGAGGTCATTGAGGACACTATTGTAAGTGTAGAATTATTTAGATGTCTCCCTTCGACTGAGTCAGAGGTCTATGGGAAAAATAATACACGCATGCTAGTTCGCTCCTGTCTTCACCTCTACAATAAATCATAATTGACTGTTCAACAAATTTGAATGTCAATGTCATGTATGAAACTTTCAAAGAAAAAATAAATATTCTTTTGTTTTGTTGTTGAGGTCACAAAGCAAGGCTAAACTTCTCATTTGAGGACCATAGAATGTTTCCAGGCTATTTTTTCTCTTACACGAACTTCTTGTCTCTCCTTTCTCTCTTTTGGGTCACATAAACATCAACCACTTGGATATCATTCTGCTCACTATCCTCATAGGCAATGTCCCAGGAATTTCTGGGCTAGAACGATCAGGCAGGGTCTCCCACATAGAACACACTCTACACAGCAAACACTAGATACCTCCAAGTCTTCTGTGAGCACACAGCAAGCCAGCATCCGCAGGTGCCTAGATAGGTATTGTTTTTAAAGTGAAACAATAAGGTTAGGATGATCCACATGTTTCTGTGCCTCTGGAGACCCAGGGTCCTCATTTTAGTGCCAGGAGCCCAAATTAGCATGTGATTCTTAAACTTACTTATTTCTCTAAATTGATCTGTTATTTGTGGTGAAAAAAATCTTCATAGGGCAGGAATATATTTTCACACACACACACACACACACACACACACACACACACACCACACACATATATATAATCTTTTCAGACTCCATGAAGCCTTATCAAAGTACCAGACAATGCTTTCACTAGCACAGTCCTTCAGAAGCCATTACTTCATTTCAGATGAGGTCCCTGAGGAACAGAGAAGTTTCCCAAGGGGCTCCTGAGGCAGTGTGAACACAGTGGCAATGCCTATGAGACAGCCTGGCTGTGCACATTTTACCTTTCTCCTTTGCCCCTCCTCCTCAGCTCACCTTGAAAGTAATCCCTGTGAAATATCTGGCAACTACCAGCTTTACAGTCAGAATTGTGACATCAAACCTCATTCAAATTACCTACTTTTTATGTGGGGCCAAACAACTCTTCAGAAATCTGTTGTACTTATTAGCATGAGCTGATCTCTGTCCACAACTTCCAGCCCAGAAAGCCAGCAAAGAGCTCCAAGGTCCACGCAGCTATGCTAAAGGACTGGCTGAATCCATTACATGGATGTCATCAAATAGGGCCTGACCTAAAGACAAAGGCTAATAAATTAATCTCAAGTACATGTAAGAAATCACCCAGAGACAGGGACATGGAACAATGTGGGTGGGGGATGTGGCTGAATGTAGTTTTGGATCTATCAGGCTTTAGTGGGTAGCACCTGTGTCTGAAATTATTCTCACTGCCTTCAGAAAATAGCTTCATACACAACACTCACTCTGTAATAAGATCCCTCAACAGACGGGAGTGAGGGATGGCCAGTTTAAGGGTAAGGCCAGGCTAGACTACATTGTGAGATCATTTCTCAATAAGAAAAGAAGAAGAAAAACAAAGTGGAAGAGGGAGAAAGGAAGGAAGGAAGAAAAAGAGATGGGGATGGTGAGAGGCGGGAGACAAGGAACTTCCCCAACTTCGTCTTATAAGAACCTAGAGAAAGAAGAGAGGGGAATGAGAGGAGAAGGGTAAGCTTCAAAGTGAATCCCCAACCCGTTGTGGGGCCCAAGAGAAAACTCACCAAAGATATGAGGTACTGCCCAACACAGTGCATAAACCATAGCTTGGCCGGATGCTTCAGGGTGGTCGGAAATTCTGAAGTCGGAAAGTTCTGAATAACAACCCATACAAATACTCCCAGTAAAAATGTGGGCAGCCCTGCGAGCAGCAGCAGCCACAGCACAGTCATGACCCAGAAGCTCCAGAGGCCCCAGGAGCTGTTGTCCTAGGAAACTTGCTTCAGAACTGCAGTGACAAGCACCTGATCCTGCTTTACATGCTATTGTCTCCGCCCTCTCCTTCCAGGATGACCCGTTTCTTAGCACTCCACAGAAGCCAGCCAATGAGAGGTGAATAAGTCTGAGAGAGAAGAGAGAGGGGGGGGCAGGGAGGGGGGAGAGAGAGACTGAGGAATCTATCCTACCCACCAAGAAGAAAATGAGAACGGAGGACAGAGTAAGAGAGTGAGTGCAAGAAGAGAGACATCTTGATAGAGGGAGCCATTATATGGTTAGCAAGAAACCTGGCACAAGGGAAATTCCCAGGAACCCACAAGGATGACCCCAGTTAAGAATCTAAGCAATAATGGAGAGGGTGCCTTAACTGGTCTTCCTCTGTAAGCAGATTGATGACTACCTTCATTGTCATCTTAGAACCTTAATCCAGTAACTGATGGAAGCAGATGCAGAAATTCAGAGCTAAGCACTGGGCCAAGCTTCTAGGCTCCAGTCATAAAGAGTAGCAGTGCTGTAGGAAATCCTACAGCCAGTAGCTTTTAAGTTACCTGCCCACTGGGGCATGATCTCTTAGACTATTTATGCTGATATAAAAGGCATGTGTCCGACCTCTTTTCCAGCTGTGGGATTCGGTTGCTGTTCTCCATTCCAGCAGAGGATTCTGATTTGTGAGTCTACTCCTAAATAAATAATCATCTATTATTCTCAATACTGAGCTAGTGTGGGGTTTTTTTTAAGCATCCTTCTTCAAGAGAGGAGCAATAATATTAGCAAATGTGTCAAGACCATGATGGGGAAACCCACAGAAATGGCTGTCCCAAGCTAATGGGAACTCACTCTCTCTGGATTGACAACTGGGGAATCTACATAGGATCAAATTAGGCCCTCTGAATGTGGGTGACAGTTGTATAGATTGAGCAGTTTGTGGGGCCACTGGCCAAGGAACCAGTATTTATCCCTAGTGCACAAACAGTTTTTTTTTTTTTGGAACCTGTAGTAATAAGGGGCGGCGGGGCTGCATCCCTGGCACCCCAGCTGCCTAGCTAGCTTATGCCCTGAAATAACAACACACAAACTGTATTCATTTAAACATTGCTTGGCCCTTTAGCTCTAGCCCGTACAGGCTAATTCTCACATCCCGATCAACTCATCTCTAATAATCTGTGAGCACCGGTCTTACCGGGAAAGATTCAGCATGTCTAACCTGGCGGCTTGCTTCATTGCGTGCGTCTGCCCTGGAGAGCAGAGCATGGCATCTCTCTGAGGAGTCTGCTCCCGAGAGGAGAGCTGTGGAGTCTGAGCTCACTTCCTCTTCCTCCCAGCGTTCTGTTCTGTTTACTCCTCCCACCTATCTTCTAACCAATGAGGGCCAAGCAGTTTCTTTTTATTTAACCAATGACCTTCCTCCATCAGGAACCCAATCCCTATGGAAGACACCTTGCTCAGTCTAGATAGAGAGATGAGGGCCTTAGTCCTACCTCAAGTGATATGACAGTCTTTGTTGACACCCCATGGGAGGGAGGCCTTACCCTTTCTGAGGAAAGGATGGGTAGTGGGGTGAGGTGAAGGTGAGGGGAGCAAGATGAGGGGAGAGGGAGGGAATGGGGATTGATAAGTAAAATAAAAAAGATTGTTTAAAAATAAAAATAACATGTTAATTTAAAAATGAAGTAAAATTTAAAAGTTTTTATTTCTGAGACAGTAAGGCTTCCTATGGATGTTTCCCATGACTAGTCTTACTTCTTACCCATTACCATGAAGTGGTTGGTCCACTTGAAAGAACAGAAGGGTACACCAAAGAATCAATTGTAGTAACAGCTGTCAGATTACACCTTCAACAGAGGAGGTTCTTGCTCTTGCCATGCACAGTGCAGGCAGCAAAAGAGGCTCTTAGACGAACCCATCTCCTTGAGTTGAGGGAGTGAACTGTTTAAAAAGAGGAGCACACCAACCCTAAGGTTCTGGCTCTGCAATAGTAGCAAGTACTCCAAACCCTATATTCTTAGATTCTTTTTTAACTCTGCTAGTGGTTGGCCTTACTTGCTGTGGTTTTGGATGTTAAACGCCCTCCCAAACATATTTTTGTAGCTTATTTATTCTGCGTGTCTTTTTATCGTGTGTCTTGATCTCATTCGTTTCCCCATCCTGTCGCAACTGTGCTCCACCCCTGCACACCCCCAAATAAAACAAAATTTAAGAGAAAAAAATAAAAATGAAAAGAAAATCTGAGAAAAGCTGAAAATCTCATCGCGGAAGCTGCAGCGACATAGTGAGTTATGCTGTGAACCCCTTTGTCCATTTATCTTTACCTGCAAGTGTTCATTTCAGAGTCATCAGTCTGGTTCGTGGCTTCTGGACTCTAATACCCTATCAATTCTGGGCCCTTGCTAAGGCTCCTTCTGGATATCCTGTTGTTGCCCTGTGTTGAGATCCTGCAGCTTTGGCTCCACAGGTCAGGTTCCTTCATGTGAAGATCATAGATGGGGTGGATGATGGGGTGGGCCAAATCATATCCTTGGGTCTGGGCCTTGGCAACTGTAGGGTTGGTCCACCAGGTGTGAAATGAGGACAGCTCTCCATTGCTTACAACTTCGGGGTTACATCAGTGCTAACAGGATTGGCTCCATTGTGCTGCCCTGGGAGGTGCATAAAACACGAATTTTTAATATTAGTCCTCGTAGCATAGACTGTTTGAATACTGTGGAACCTTCAAGCTGTATGATCTAAGCCTGGCTAGCTTAGTCCAAAAATAACGACACAGAAACTGTATTAATTAAAACACTACTTGGCCCATTAGCTCTAGCTTCTTATTGGCTAACTCTTATTTTAATTTAGCCCATTTCTATTAATCTATATATCACCATGTGGCAGTGGCTTGCTGGGTAAAATTCCCAGCACCTGTCTCTGGCAGATCCATGGTGTCTCTCTGACTCTGCTTTCTTCCTCCCAGAATTCAGTTCTGTCTTCTACCAAAATTCTGCCCTATCAGGCCAAGGCAGTTTCTTTATTCATTAACCAATACAAGCAACACACAGAGGGGAATCCCACATCACAAACCCAAGTCAGGGACCTCTACAGGAGTGGGCCCAGACCAGGAATATTTATGGAAACAGGACTGAGCCAGCAACCTAGGCCAGAGCAGGCCTGAGAAGCAAACTCCACAGAAGCAGGTACAAGGGAGCAACCATTGGTGGAGTAGGTTGGAACCAGAGACCTCTATGGGTCCAGGCATGAGTCTGGGACCTCTAAGGGAGTAGGACTGAGCCAGGACCTCTGTGGGTCTGAGTGTGAGTCTTGAACCTCCAAGGGAGTAGGCAGGAACCAGAGACTTCTATGGGTCCATGCACGATTCTGGGACCTTTGAGGGAATAGGCAGAAACCAGAGACCTCTGTGGGTTTGGGCACAAGTCTGGCACCTCCAAGGGAATAGGCTGGAACCAGAGACCTCTGCAGGTCCAGGGCATAAATCCAGAACCTTCAAGGGAGTAGGCCTGAGCCGGGACCTCTGCTAGAGAAGGCCCAAGGCAACAACCTCAGCAGAAAAAGCCCCAAGCAAGCAATCTCTGTGGGAGCACACCCAAATGACCCCTGGTATTGCAGAGCAAACCACAGGAGCACTGAGCAACCTCTAGGAACACAGAGTGAGCAACAGGGTAACTGGAACCATGACCCTGACTGCACCATGAGGAGCAGCGATCTAAGCCTTGGATTCACTGGCACCTGGAAGACTGATCACCAGAGCCACAGACAACCCCAACTACACCAACTACAGGAAAAGATGGGTAGACAAGGTAAGAACACATGTAACACCACAAAGAGCAACAGGACACCAATAAAAACTAGTGACCCTACAACAGCAAGACTTGAACAACCAATAATAGATGAAGTAGAAGAAAATGACCTCACCTGCCAAAGTAAACAACTTGTTTTTCTATCCTTGCAGCTGCTCTGAGCATGGAACCCTCATGAGTTCCTGATAACAAGGAAGTGGTTTCAAGTGGGCTTGCAGTGAAAAACCCTGAAAGTTAGAGCATGGCCACAGTTAAGGAGTACACTATATAAGTTGCCTTGGAACATAATAAAATTGGCATTCTTGCTTCAAGGGCGATCCATGTCTCTGGGTGTTCTTTACTCCCCAGACCCTTGCCCAACCACAGTTCCAGGTGGTGCAGGTACCACAGGTGGAGGCCCCTCTGGGATCAGGACCTAGGAACACCTCTAGGCTGGCCTGCAGGTAAGTAACAAATAAAAGGTGAGAGGGTGAATTGAATTGAAAAGATGGGAGAAGATTCTTAAAATAAAACAAAGTCTTTAAAGAGATAGAGTAAACTTGTAGAAAAAGTAATATGAACAAAGAAAAATAAGCCATACAAAGATGGAATATACACAGAGAGTCTGGATTATGTATATTATTGTGTTTTCTTTGACTTTTTTGACTGTAAAGGAGCTAAGTACAGAGAGACATTCCATTGTACGGGCTGCTAAAATAAACCAACATAAAGGTACCTGGACTTCAGAATTTGAGCCTAAGAATATGTTGCTTTGGAAAAGAGATTCTTCTTTTGTTTCCACGGAAGATGAGAACATGTGGATTAATTCTAGACTAATGTGGTTTGATGAACCAAGATCCCCAGAAAGGTTGCTGTGAACACTCCCAAAAATATTTCACCCAACTAAAAGCAGAAAGCAGTTTGAAGAGAACTATACCCAAATTCCCAAATATTGTTTATAAATATTTGTTTACATTTAAAGGGGGAAATGAAATAGAGATGGATAGTTTGCATTGATATAGATCTTGGTGATTCTCTAACTAAGGGCATTAGCTATGACCTAGGCTTGCTGAAGAACTGGTCTGGGACTGTTGCCCTAGGAATTCTTGTAGATGGAGGGCTTTTAGTGCTCTGCCTTTATAACAGACATCAGCAGCAACAACAGCAAGTGCTTTGATATTGTTGCTAAGAAGCTAATGCTTGCATAAGTAAGTGGGCTTCCTCCAAGTGTAGTATGGGTCAACATGCTATGAGAAGGCCAGTGAGCCAGAAACAGGTAAGACAGGAGCCTGTCACAATCAACCTAAGACAGAGGCTTCCATGCAGAGGCAAGTGTTCTTGATAACAAGCAGATGTGAATTTGTGCTTCTGAAATCTAATACAGGCCTGGTCTAATTATATAGAAAAGAGGAAGCTGTTGGGAGCTGAAGACCCTCACACCCTGAACTTTCTATGGCACCTTGCCTGCCAGAGTAAACAACTTGTTTTTCTATGTTTGCAGCTGCACTGAGCATGGAACCCTCATGAGTTCCTGATAACAAGTAAGTGGTTTCAAGTGGGCTTGCAGTGGAAAATTCCGAGAGCTATGGCATGGCCACAGTTAAGGAGAGCACTATATAAGCTGCCTTGAAACATTATAAAATTAGCATTCTTGCTTCAAGAGTGACCCGTGTCTCTGTGTGTTCTTTATTCACCAAACCCTTGCCCCACCACAGTTCCAGGTGGTGCACGCACCACAATTATAGAAACAGAAATCATTTTTTTTTTGATTTTTCGAGACAGGGTTTCTCCGTAGCTTTTGGTTCCTGTCCTGGAACTAGCTCTTGTAGACCAGGCTGGCCTCGAACTCACAGAGATCCGCCTGTCTCTGCCTCCCGAGTGCTGTCATGAGAAAACAATCAGGAACCACAATTATGCAAGCATAAATGGCAGAATACAAGAGGTGGAAGAGGGAATCTTAAGTGCTGAAGATACAATAAAGGAAATAGACTCATCAGTCAAAGTAAATATTAAATCTAACAAAAGCTTAACACAAAATATCTAGGAAACATGGGACACCATGAAAAGGCCAAGCCTAAGAATAATATGTATAGAAGAAGGAGAAGTTCAACTCAAAAGCACAGAAAATATTTTTAACAAGACCATAGAAGAAAACTTTCCCAACCTAAAGAAAGATATGCCTATTAAGACACAAGAAAATTACAGAACACCAAATAGACTGGATAAAAAAAAAAAAAAGTTCCCTCACCACATAACAATCAAAACACTAAACATACAAAATAAAGAATATTAAGAACCACAAAGGAAAAGGCCAAGTAACATGTAAAGGCAGACCTATCAAAATTACACCTGACTTCTCCATGGAAACAGTAAAAGCCAGAAGGTCCTGGCCAAGCGTTCTGCTGACATTAAGAGACCACGAATTCCAGCCCAGACTACTATACCCAGCAAAACTTTCAATCACCACAGAAGGACAAAAGAAGATATTCCATTGTCAGGTTCTCTGACAGAAGGCATGGGGACAGAGACAGACCTGCCAGACTTTTCCTGGGGCTGAGCAGGATGGTGAATGTCAATGACTCAGATCCCCTTCCCCCTGGCCACCAGGGAGAAACACACACTGATCATCTGTCAAAGCAGGATCTCATTCAAATTGCAACAGGCAGGAACTTATATAGGCTGAGATAGGGGGGTGGGAAGCCTGGTATGGGTCAAGGCAGAACAAGGAACAAAGGTCAATGATATTCTGCCATGTTAGCAGTGGCTGGGCAGGAGGCGGTCCTCGGTCGGGTTGTGCTGAATCACTTCCTGTGTGGAGGCTCAGGAAGTAACAATAGACCTCACAGAAACTCAAGTTAAGCTCAGAAAGTTACACTGGGTCTCACGCCCAGGCCTCATAACGCCCAACCTCTTCCCCCCTCTTGTTTATATGAAGAAGAAAACTGCCTCACCTTGGGGTCCCTCTGAACTGCAGGGGGGTGAGGGATGTGTGGGTCTCCAAGGAAAAAGAAATCAAGGGAACCATTAAGCCGAGCAGCTACAATCCTCCTGGTTAGGAAGACAAGGGCTGTGATGCCTGAAGAGAACTTTTTGCTGCTGTCTGTGACACAGATCTTGAACTCTTGTTATGAGTGGCGACCTTTGTTGCGAGAAGTGCTTAAAACATTGAACTAGAGCTACCTTCAAGTCCCTGCCCCCCACTCTAGGACATTCGTCTTATGGGAGCTGCTGAAGAACAGGGCATGGAAGACAAGGGCAAGATAGAAGAGGCGTTGAGAATGTTTTAGAGCCATTAACTCCTTCTGCCTGAGGAGGCTGAAATGGCCTCATCTGTGAGCATCTGACGTGGACCAGCAGCAGCACCTGGAACCTTCTAAGCAAAAGATGACTGTTAGCACCGGTCCTCAGTCAACACTAGGATTCATATCTATCTCCCCAGTGTCTACACTTATGAACAACCAAAGGGCACAGGAGAAAACAAGGTTGTTGTCTAGGGGGAAACCAGCCAGCTGCTACTCCCCCCATGTGAGGACTGGGACAAGAGCAAATGTAAGGAATGCACCTACCCAAGGCCCCTGCCACTGGGTCCTTTCGAGTTTCCTGGGACCTACCCACACTCCCTCCCTCATAAACACACACACACACACACACACACACACACACATATAAAAATGTAAGGCTAGACCCATGCATGAAAAAGAACATGAAATGTTTGCCTTTCTGTGCCTAGGTGATCTCACTTAATAAAATATTTTCCAGTTCTGTGCATTTTTCCTGAAACTGTCAAATTAGTATTTTGATGGTATCTTACCATTAGATTGGTTATGAGCTGCTATACAATGCTCAGTATAAAACCCCATTCAACATGACCTAACCTCACAGAACACAGAGGTTTCACCATATCCACCTTCAACTACAGTATTCTTGGCTTTTAATGTGAACTGTGCATCACAAGAACCCTATCACATACACTGGAGGCACATACAGTATGAGAACAGCAGACCCTGTGGACCAAAGGGCTCACATTACCGTCTCTAAAACTTCATAAGCTCATAACTTCATATAATGCCGATGACTTCATATGATTATATGAAGAAATGTGACAGTTTCCTATGGGGAGTAACCCATAAACCAATACCAACCCAGATGCACATTAAATTAAGAAAGAATATTTTTGTCACAGTGAAGTTAATGCCTATTGGTGCAATGTTTAAACTGCATTATATACATCCATGTAATTTTCCTGAGCTACCACCAAGTGATAAATACCACTGAAAGAATACCTACAATATTTGCAAAATGTATATAATAGAAAATTTAGCAATTTTCGACACACAGGAAGAAGAGATCCAGGAAATTATGGAAAACTAGTTTAATTTCAGATATAGCCTAAATGCTTTCCAGCAATCAACAGCACAGGCAGTAACCTCATTATCCACACTGATCCAACAAATCTCTGTACTGTTATGGAAACAGGATGATTGAAAAAAAACCACTAAGAACAATATAAATATAATTTAAACCATGTGGTGGATGTCATGGAAATGAACTTGCAAACTCTCAGGCGTTACATAACCTGGAACAGATGTCCAGCCCAGTGTGGCAGAACACAGCAGCTACTGGGAAGGGACATGGCAAGATTTCACAAACAACACACAAGATAGGCCGTTCCACAGTTTATCAACTGGCAATAATAGCATAAATAAGGCCACCCAGGCCTTCTAGGTATTCAGCATGAAGAGACTGCTCAATACTTAAAATTCAGCCTTCAAGAGGAAATGGTGGCAGTTTATTCTGTCACATCAATCACATAAGCACACAATGATTATAATGCCCATATGTGGGGTAAAGGAGAGCTCTTATACATACCTGGATATTACATCATCATCAGTTTACCATATTCTTAAAGCCATTACCCCAGCCATAAACTTTTACCCCAGGAATGTAACAACTATACTTGATGTTGCTACTCCCTGGAGTAGGACATCTATTCCCTCCTCATAAGATTCTAATGACAAACCAAAGTATGATCCCACCACATCCCACCCTGGGATCCAGTGAGTTTATTGGCTTCCTTATTAGCATGAGTGAGGGGTTACTGACAGGAGCATGGGTAACCCCAAAGCAGCCACACTGGAAAGTCTTCACCTAGAATGAATAATAGGTTCCCCAGAGCTGCATAGATGGGGGCCCCTCTCCTAGTCTTCCCACCTATGTATTTTTGCCCCTCTCGTAGACCTGAGGGCTC